AATAATGATTTTACTTTGGAGGCCAAGGTCTGCTTTTGTTGCTCAGATGAGTGGGTAAATTTAAAACTACATTCCCACTGAAAGCCATCAAAGCCAATAAAACGTTTTTTAGAACATTTTTCTGCAGTGGATGATGCTAGCAAGCTTTGTACAAGCAGCTTCCTCAGGAGAAAACACTAAAAGGAGAGAAGATTTGTCCTTGCCCCTTTCCTGTGTTTTACTACCTCTTTGTCTCAGGCTATTCTAGCACAGTAGCAGATTCTGCAGGGTGAGAACAGGATAATGAGGGAAATATGAGGGGTCTTAGTTCATTCTATCCTTGCTCATAAAAGAAGAATATGGGTTTTCCCTCCAGACAGGTAGATGTCTTCTAACCTGCTGAAGCCTCTGCTTTCAGCATGGTCTTTTCTTCATCTTCAGAATAGCAGGCCTGGAAGAAGTCTTTCTGCATGTTATGCAAAATAAACAATCCAGTTTATTTGAATCCGAGCGGTGGCTTAAGTATCAATTGATTTCCAGAAATTCAGTGCTTCAGAAAGTAAAATATGATTGCTGTATCTGGATGAAGTAGTCATGAATCCTTTTCATGCTTTTTTATGTCTTTTCACATAGTAGTGAACCCAGAGAAGTTATTTTCTGTCACTGTTGCACATCGTATTGTGACTGTATCATGCACATGTGTTTGCTTCTATGGCTAAAGATCCAAGTGTGTACACATCTTAGAAGTGACAGCAAGGATTTTAATATTCATATATATTTCTGTTTTCAGAAGTGAAAAAAGATCTATTCTTAAAATTCCCTTTTCTTGTAGCTTGAAATAAACCCAGAAAAAATATTGGTAGCTAAAGATGTTATTGCAAAGAGAAATTACCGAGTCTGTTTTCTGAGCACAAAAAATGTAATTATTGGGAAAATATTTCTTTTTTTTTTAAAGAGAAAGGGAATTAAAGTGAGCCATGGAATAGTTCTCAGGGGTGTGGTTATAGAGGTACACCATGCCACTGCAGGAAAATAAAGGTGTTTTCTCACAATCAGGTAGAACTTTTTGTAGTTTTCTTAATTATATAATAGAACAGACAATATTTTCATAATAGAGTAAACATCCCATATAGTCATAAACCATATTGGAAGCTCAGGTCAGGGAAAACTTGAAAGATGTCTGAGGAGTCTGATGTCTTATGGAAATTCTGATCCTGTCATTAACCCTGTCACATTCTCAAATAATGTGATGTTGTATAAGTCTTTCTTCCAATCATAATAACGATGTTAGGGTGATAGTAACTTTCTGTGCAATAATAAGTCCTGTTTAATTTATATTTATATTTTAATCAGTCATTATGACATGTCCTTTTTTTAATCCCTCTAAAAGATAATCCTGTTTAAGAATTGCAACAGGATTTGAATAATATTCAGAGACAGAAGTGAAATTTCTATTTTACCATAAAATATTTGTTGCAATCCTATTACAATATTTCAGTACCAAAATTAAAAAGTGACTCTGCCTATACTGGTTTGCTTGATTATAGAGCTTTATGTATTTGAAATGAATAGAAAATGAAATAGAAAATGAAATTTAATGAGATGAAAATTTATTAGAGGTACACATCTTCATTAAGATTTCTTTATCAAAAAATTTGTGGTTCATAGATTCAGTGAAAAGCTAGGAAAAATAAATCATTCTGTTTTCAGAACATTTTGATTTTACTGTTCTGGGAATTGTTAGCCTTATTTATAAGTAGTATTCAATTTGATTTATTAAATGATTCTGCAAAGAATGTTTTACAGTGCAATAAAGTCATAGAGCTTAACACTAAGGTGACCTTCATCCGAAACATGCATATGAAAATACTCAGTTCATGTAAGGATAACCATTATTATTTTTCAGCTACATTAAATAATCATTTCCATTTATACTGCAGATATTGTTGATCTGCCCCAATAACTTACCCAATGGTTTATCATCTAACTTGGAGGTAAAATCAAAAATCAAATTGCATAAACTATGCAATTATTGTCATATGGCTTTAATGACTTGATGAATCAGTATTGAAACAGCTGGAAAAAATAGTTTCCTGTCACTGAGATGGTCCTTCTGAAACTTCTGTCTAATTAAGTTCTTATATTTCATTTCATTTTGCAATTTCATCTAATTTTTCACTGCCCATTTTGGGCATATTTGGGCATGAATATATTTATCTGATTTTTTTTACATCAGTAAAGAACAGCAAAATTTCTGATAATCATTAACACTGAAAATATTACTGTTATCCCCTCTTCATTCATAAAATAGTAAGTCATGAAAAAGAATTTTGTTGGGGCTCTAGAGCCTAGATCAGGTTGTGTAGAAATCAGGAAAAATGTGACAAAAGTCAATACTGTTATACAAAATCAGTCCCAATGAAGAAAAGAGAAAAAAAATTGAGAAATAGTACCATGAATGAAAAAAATAGGAAAGAAGAAAAATCTATAAAAGAGGAGCATAGTAGCATACATCCTCAAATGTTTCCTCTGGAGCAGCACTGCTCTGAGTATCCCTCTTATCTTTTTCTGTGCTCTGAAGGGATTGCGTATCATTGTAGGAACACTTCAACTTTATTTACCCTGAGGCAAATTACACAGGCTGGGAAAGCAGCATATTTTGACTTTTATGCTTTATTATTTGGAAATGCAAAGATAAGTTGCTACTATTGTTTACATAGACAAAGTATTGTTTCATTTACTTTAGAGAAAATATATATACACATGTCCCTTCCAACCCTAACTATCCCGTGATTCTGTAATTATGATGTAATAGGCAATACTTTGATGAAGCCTGTGTTTTCCACCTTCGGAAAATGCTGATGAATTTACCCTAGAAATAATGACTGTTAATTAATTTTTGATAGTGCCTTTTATTTCAAACAAGCCTTTCAATGTGGGGAGGTGCTGCACACTTTTTGAAAAACATTTGTTTTCTCTTTTTGATGGACACTGTGGGGAGAGTTCAGAATCATACTATTTTCGTCCAATTTAGTGAGTGAATGGAAACATTTTTTATTGCCAAAATATGATTTTTAAAATCTCTGTTCTTTTTGAGACCTATTTTCACTTAGAGTGGATATTCATATTTATATACCTCTGACCTTTTTTTTCTGATTGTGTAGGTTTTTACTCTTGGTGCTAGTTTTCTTAAAATGTAGTAGTGGCTTTCTTGTTTCATCACATTGATTACGAGGAGATGTTATAATTTCAGATATAAAGTAACTTCTATCTGTTATGCCATAGGGAGATTCACCTTGACTCACTGTATACAAAGAATCTTTGTTTGGAATTTAACAGAAGGATAATAGAATAGAATAGAATTTAACAGAAGAAGAATAGAATGAAGATGCTGAGAATGTTTGCCAGATTTAAAAAAAAAGGGACCCAACAACCCACCAAAAAACATAAAAAAAATAAAATCAAAACGCAGAAAAATTGATTTTTATTAGGAACTGAAATCTTTCTTCTGTGGTTCTCAGGGTATATTCCTAGGCAGCTCCTAGTCAGCATGTTGCATATTGTTGGTATACACATAAGATCATATGGAAGCTTGTTAGGATTACACCTGTTGTGTAACATCTACATTCAGGACTCAGCAGAAGTAAAATCCTGGTGTTCTGCTTCTGGGCAGGAGGCTGATTTTTTGAAATGATTAAAACTTAGCCTATTTGTGCAGCATGAATCTGTCAGGATTGAACCTTGCTTCCAGGTTTCCATTTTTTTCATTCCTTCCCCCTCTGTGAGTACACATGAATTTACAACACAGTTCACAGATGGCTTTCTAGCAAAAACTTCCTTTGTGAATAAGATAAGCAAGAACTTGTTTGTGCAGGGCACAAGATACAGTAATATAAGGAGGCAGCAATTTAACTAGTGTAGGGTAGAGACAGTCTCTTAATCAGTCTAAATATTAATATAGAACCGATTACAAATGCTGTAAGAACCTTCCAGTACTCAACCTGGGGTGAAAATGGTAGCAACATCACTTAATTCAATACTAAAATAAAGTGCTTATTTAATTGTTAATCACCATGAAACTAGATTTAATAGAAAGCAATGAATCATGCTACAGTCAGCATTTTAATATCTATAATTAATAAATAAATAAAATTACTAAGTAAGAATCACTTCTCCCCTTAGCCTACTGAAATTCATTCATATACAGAGAAAACACTCCAAGAAGTAGATTTGCCTTTGATCATACTGTTGCATGAGAGAAGGCCCCAGTCAATAAGAACATTAAAAAATAGAACCTTAATAAAAAGAGTCAAGCAACAATAATATGTAAGGAATATGAAAGAAGATACAGAATACTTGTGTACTAAAAGTATTTTCCCTATGAACCCAGACACTGAAGTAATTATAGGGAAGAAAAATTCTATTAAGCAAGAATTTTCTTGTGCACTCTGATATTGCAAAAAAGGTGAATAATTTATAATTTTGGCATGCCCATAATCTAATATGCTCATTCTCTTCTCATAATCTGATGAAGCCTTATGTGCTAATCTTTTGCTTTTAGTTCAGTATATTTGGGTTACTGTGTAATCCAGACAAATAACCAATTATGTGAATTTGGGCCCATTAAATTTTGTTTCCATTTAACATATTTTTGGCCTTCTGGTGTCTGGCAGCAGTAAACTCATTTTTGTTTAATTAATCTAATTTGTCATACTTTTATGAAAATAATTAAACAAGTGCATTCTCTACAGTATTTACCTTTCACTGAGCTGTTTAGACTTAGATTCAAAGTACTGCATCTTTGCTTTCTTCTTATAATGAAAGAAGTTTGAAGAATTAGTATTAGCAAGCTTTTTTACTGTAGTTTGTTTTTAATTGGAGGTGACCTTTGCTAACTCAAGTAGGAGTCTATCTACTAGAAAACGTGATTTTAGATGTAATACCTATAAGAATAAGCTAATATTAATATTCTACTAATAGGAACTGTCTTAGCATTTCCAAATTTTCCTTCTCTTTCACAGCTACTTAACTACCCAAGACAGTTGGTATAACAGTGTTATGTATCACAGAAAGAAACTGTGTTCTATCAGACAATGAATGCAGAAATGTTGTATGCAGAAAATCGAGCTCCTACAGAAGGCTCTAGAAAATCTCCTACAGAGATTTAGCACCTACAGAAGACTGTAAGAAACAGCGTATACTCTGTCACACCTGTACTGTGGCCCACAAAAAAAAAAAAAAAAGACAGATATGTGTGTAGGTTATGTGAATTGATAATAGATTCATAGGAAATTTTACAGAATCACAGAATATTCTGAGGTGGAGCTTGCAATTACAATTCTCATGTATCCGTCAGGAAGTTGAGAAAGAGAATCCCGTCAGTGCAACTCAGGCACGGTGCCCAAGCCTTGTGACATTAGGGAATCGCATTCAGGAAACATTCCCACTCAGGATTTGGGAAGACTGGAAACTAGGGAATACACATGGGATAACTATTGACTCAAATTTGGCCAGTTTAGTCACTGTACCTGTCCAGTATACAGTAACTTGTCCTGCTCTTTCTGTGCCAGCAGTACTGTAAACCTGGCAGAAAGTTTCATAGCTGTTTTAAAGAGCAAGCACAGCTTTCCTACCCTTGGAAACCAAGGTAAAAAAGGGCACATTCAGAATTTTGATGGGTGTTGTTTTTCTTGTCCAAGCATGCAGGGCTGTGTTTCTAAATCTTTTATGTTAGACATAAATTTAAAATGATCTAGAAGGAACATTTTCATTGTTTGTTGACAGATAACTATAATTTACTTTTAAGAATGGTTAAAATTTATTTTCAGTAGTTTTTAGCAAACATGGAATCATTTGCACTAAAATTCATTACCTTTTAATTTAGGTCAGTAAAAATAGATTTGTTTGCACTATATCACACATTAAAGACCCTGGAGAAGTAGTTCCTGTATATATATATATCCTGTATATATATTCCTGGAAAGCTATCATATATCTTCAATTTGACATTAAAATACTTTTCACAATCCAGAGTCCAGCAGCATGCATCAGATTAAAAAACAGCAATTCAGATTACATATTTTAACCATATTAATAACAAAATATTTTATGTTTTCTTGCAGTTTCAGAAGTCCAGAAAATAATCTGGTAGAATATTAAGACTTTGACGCAGTGAAGCCTAAAATTTAAAACTGACAATCAGAAGAGTTTGGAAAAAAAGCCATTCCTCCACTCTCAAGAAAAGTAGAATTTAATATGGGACCTTTATTTGCTGCTGCCATTACACTAAAATATTTCAAGTGTGATTGTACTCCATGGAGACTAGAGTTTTTCCATTAATACTACTATTTCTGCAAATCTTCCTTTGGATGAATGGGAAGGGAATGAAATCTTGAAATCAGAGAACAAAGTGTAACAAACACTCTGGAAAGGAGATATGATCAAATAAAATGCAGTTGAAAAAACCCAGTAAATTTGGAAGTGGAGTGACTACAGTCAGATGTATGGAGATGAAATGAGGTGCAGTGAAAAGGACTGAAAGGAAGAAAGGTAAACAAAGGAGAAGAAATTGAACAAATGAAATGCTAAAAAAAGAGAGAAAATTCTAAAATTAAATGAAAACAAGGAAAGAGAATGGCATGACATGAAGTGCAGAGAAATGGACTGAAACTTTCCCAATTGATTCTCATTGAAATTGCAAGATTTCATTCCCTTTTCTACAAAAGTGTAGATTCACGTAGATACACAGACTTGTAAGTACCTTGGGCTTACAAAATAAAATACATTAAAAGTATAACTCATAGAGATCCCTATTTCTCTAAATATATGCTTGTGTTTCTAATTATATTTTACATCTCAGAACTATTTAATTACAGAATTCTTTCTCAGTACAAGAACTTCTTGCTATCTGAAAAAACCACTATTGACATAGTGCCTATGTGAAATACACTATATTCATTGAAGCATTCTTTTCAAAACATGTTTTGCTAAAATAATAGTAAACATCTGTGATTCTGCTAGCAGAAATAACAAAAGGAATATAAAAAATGAGATTCAATTATTCCTTCTTGATTTATTTGAATGCTGCTGGCATAGTGATCTTCTAGCCATACTTCTGAGGCAGTTTTATCACAGGCTGTTTCTGGATTTATTTGCTTTCAGGTTCTAGCTCTGCTGTTATGTTCTTTCCTTGTAAGCACCTGAAAAAAACCTTCAGTTATGAAGTGTTATTTGTTATTCATCCCATTTTCTGGGGCAAGTGGGAGACAAGAAGGACCACAGGTCACCATAAACCTTTCAGGTCAAGCAGTTTAGATTTCAGAATACCTCAGAGCTGTCATCCTCCTGCTTTCTCAACAGCTAACAGCATACCATAAAATTTCAGTAGCTTTAGTGTCAAGAAAGGAGTAAAAACAAATCCAGAAAATAAATTTAATTCCTGTTTAATCTAAACAAAGGTCCTGAATATTGTTGCAGTTCTGCAGGAGTTTCTTATATTTATTATCCAGTTGGCCTTACAACAGTCCCTTAAGATATGTGGGGAAATCCTTGCTGACTAGAATGCCATTAATGTTCAACAAAAACATGATGCAGAGTCTATTGCCAGCTTGTATTTTGCCATACATTTTCATTATATGTTTGCTTGTGAGTAGCACCCTGTTCCACCTATTTAGTGACTGTTCTCAAAGTCCACAAAAGCAAGAAAGAAAAGGAAACTGTAATAATTCTGAAAAATATCAAACATTGGATAGACACTTGTAAAGGTAAGGTGTAAAAGAAATTTGTAAATGTAAAAGCCTTTCTGCTATATATTCTTCCAACCTTCATATTGATGTATTTATATTTAAGGACAGAGAGGTTCAACACAGAAAACAAGACTGCAATATAGATCTCTAAGCTTGTTTGTGTTGGAAAGTTTTTTGAACCTGTCAGTCTTCAAGCAATGTATCTTTCTTCTGTATACTCATTTCAGCTACATTTTCTACATGATGTCCATGTTAAAGCAGAAGTCTGTGAAACACCAGCTTTTTTTTTGATATTTTTGCAGTTGCATGGGGAAATTTGAGCCTTTTGTAAAATGTGTCCAGAAGGTTATAGAATATTTGGGGGAGAAAGAACACTTTTGAACAAAAATATTATTTTTCATGGCAGCTAACAGAGATCTAGTTTCTTCTGCCTTCAATGATAAATTCTACTTTAATTAAGCACAGAAGTAAATTAGCTTCTGGCATTTTTTATACTGGACAGCTGCAATGCTCAGAGCCACAGAGATGACAATTAGAAAGAAATTACATGAAGAGTATGGTAAACTGAAGGGGGAAGAAAGACTCATCTTTGTCCAAATCATTTATCTGGAAAAGATTTCATTAGACTAATGTCAAACAATGTTCAAAGGAAATGTGCTTTCTCTTTCCTTGAAAAAACCTGGCTGAATTTTCATCTGTTCCTGGCATATTTGCCCTATGTGCTATGTATTCCATCCTATCCCAATGTTAAAGTAAATTAATTATCATTATTTATAGACTAAGTTAGAAAAATAATTTCTTCTACAGTAAACATTATAAGATCCTATAGCTTCTTGAAAGAAACTAATTTCAAAAGTAATTAAATTATGTGTTTTTTTAAAAAATGTATCTTTAAAGAAAAGAAAATACTTCCTATACAATTGCATAAATTCTTAAATCTATTATACCCCTAGTTTGCTCATACTCTTTTGGAGATGAATTTTTGATTTGAGTTGTGGGACTGTATTGCATAAACAGTGTTTTTGCATTCCTATTTCTCCATTTGCAGTTGGAAAATTAGAAATGCTACTTCATTAGTCTCTAATGGAAAAAAAAAGTAATGATTTCAGTACCTTGAATTGACTACAGTTTCCAACAGATAGAGAATATGGCAAGAAAGAGAATGGTTGCATGGATATCTTTAATAATTATTGTATTGATGAAGTCAGATATTAGGCCAGACTCAAAAAAATCCATTTTCCTTTGGCTTTCCTTCTGTTTCAGGAAAATTGCACACTATTGCTCTACAGTGGTTTATGTCTCTCAGTTTCCATCAATTAGTTTGTTCAATCTGTCCCTGTGACCTTAGGAACAATTCTCCTTCTGTTTGTGTGAGGCATATGAACAGGGATGCTGAGACTGGAAAACTTAGTAGAGTTGATAATTGATTATTTGCCCTGTAAGTAAACATCAGCTGTGGCTAAAATTGAGTTGGGTGGGTAACTTTCTTGTACCACAGCCTCACACACCACCACACAGCAGGAGGGAAGGGAAACTTGTCAGCTGCTCACAGATTAGAAGGAAAGAAGGTTTTTTTTTCTCCTTGTCAGACTAGCAAATTGTAATGGATTTCTAGCACTGTGTGAGATAGAGGCTGATGTGTTCGTGTTGGTTCCTTCTGTAGCTCTGACCTTCTAACATCAAACCAAATCTTTGAGAGCACACATGTATGGGAGAGAGGAAGGGTTGGTGATTAACATTACAGATTGTGGATATGCAGCTAGAAAAGGAGGGGGAAAAAAGGGTGATATAAAGAAAAGAGTGGGCTTCTTGAGGCTCTGTTCCCTTCCCTACTCTGACATTTGCAATTATATTTATGTTACTTAATACTTACCTCCCTCTCATAACAGTTAATAAAATGCTTTTCGATGCACTTTGATAAACTTGAGATCTACAGAAAGAGGCAAAAGCATCAACTGTAATTTTCAACAAGATTAAAGCAGAAGAGATCAAACATTCAAACAGAGTTCTGTTCCTGCAATCCTTACCTTTGAGGTCAGAAAGATGGCTAGGAAAGGCTTTTAAACCCAAGCTTTCTGTTTTGCTCCATGATCCCTTGCCAGGTTTTCTCTCATTTGCAAAAACATGAGTGCTCCCTCCACAGTTTTATTTCCATTTTAAGAGTTCTGTCTGTGAAGGTCTGGAAAGCACACTTCTTTTCTATTAAGTTATTACAAGCAGAATTTATTTTAGCATGACCATAGACAATTACTTCTCATAACTGAAATAATTCTTCTTTCATCTTGATATTTGCTCCCGTCCCTTCAATATTTGCAGACTTTATCAGCTTCCCTTTTCTGTTTTACTTCTGTAAACTAAACAAGCCAGGTTCTTTGAATCTATTTTTCAGCTAAAGAAAAAATTATCCAGTCATATAATCATGTATTAGTCCTGCTATGGAATCCATTCCAATTTATATTAACATTTCTAAAACAAAATAATAGAAAGGTACCAGAAATAAATGCAGTATTCTGAGGTTTTTCCATTTCAGCAACTGAGTCTGAGTTAATTTACCAATAGATTTAAAACTCTAAGGCTCTTAGCTATTCTTGTATTTGTTAAGTTATAGCATTGCCTTTAATTCCTTCCCTGGCGCTTCATG